TGCATTTTTTATGTTAATATGGGACAGATCAGCTTCATTTGATCATAATTTTTTTTTTTTTGGATTGGGCTCACTTGGCTTTTTTTTTTTTTTTGGAATGGGCTCATTTGGCTCGATCTATTCAAAATTTTAAATTGACAAAGTAATCTTAATTGTTTAAGATTCCCAAAACAAGGACCATTTGAGAGTTTTTGAAGAAATAGATGTGACAATTTGGAAATTTTTGGGATTTGTTTTGGAAGAGATACTTAAGTTAAATGGACCTTAAAAAATAAAAGAAAAAAAATTGGATAAGGTACATGTAGAATTAAGGTTGCACCTCAAAAAATCCATTTGAAAATTAAGGTTGCACCTCAAAAAATCCATTTGAAAATGTTGTTTTAATGTTGAAAAACCTTATAATTGATCATCTTGACATCAAGATATATGAATATGAAAAAAAAAAAAAGATTTCGAGTCCAAAAAATAGTGCACTTGCAACACATTATCTAAATCGTCAATTTTTAAGATTTTCATATGCATATAGATCTACTTGATTTAAACTATTTTTGAAATTTAAATTTTAATAATTAGAGTTGGAAATAGATTTTGAGACAATTCTAAGAATTATTTACACCAAAATTACATCTTATGATAAAGTTTGGAGGTGCTCTTTGATTGGATTGTTTAAGGTTATACAAACCACACCTAAAATCAAAATTACATTGATAAATTAGATACCGAAAATATTTACGATACAAAAAAAGGTAAAATAGAAAAAAGAAAAAAAGAACAAATAGAAAAAGGCTTTAATTGTTGGGAGAACTTTATAGAGCTTAGGCTCTAAACAATCAAATTAGAACTTACATCAAAAGTTTCACTAGAAGAGGTTGTTTTGATGCCCAAATATCATCAAATTGATCATCTCGACATCAAGATGCATGGACATGAGAAAAAAATTGGATTTTAAGTTTTAGAAATAGTGCATCTTGCTACACATTTTTTGACCGTCAATTTTCAATATTTTCAAGTTTTTATAGATCTGCTTGATTTACACTATTTTTTATGCTTTAAATTTATAACTAAAGATGAAAATATAATTTAAGTCTATCACAAAACTTTATAGTATTAAAACTATATTTTTTGATACTATCTTAAGGTGGGTTCTAATTTGATTGTTTAGAGTCTCAGCTCCATACAAACCGCACCCCTCATTTGTTCCAATGTCTTATATCCAGAAGTCTTTGATGGACAGGAAGCGGTGGAGTCAAATGGGACCAAAGTAGCCGAACCCATTCTTTCCTTCTCCGTCTATAAAATGATTGGGCGTTGATAGCGCTAGTGAGCATACTCTCCGTAAGGATCATAGTACACATCTCCTGATCACGGTAGTATTGCAATTGGGTTAAGAATTCGGAGTAATTTATTCATTGGGGTTTTGTAGAGGGGAAGCTTTATGTGTGTTATATGTGATCTCCCTTCTTAGTTGTTCGATTTGAAATCGACGATTATGATTCTTCATGCCACAATGTCAAGCTAAACTTTGTTTTATTTTTTATTTTTATTTTTATAAAATATTTTTATATTAAAATTTGGGTGTCCTATCGTAAAATTAAAACAAACCTAGAAAAATAAAAATAAAATATATTTTTTATGAAATAAAGGGTGTGGTTTTTATAGAGTTGCAACCTTAAATAATCCAATTAATGCGCACCTCTAAAATTTATCATAATGTATAATTTTGCAGTAAAAGGTCTTAGGATTATCTAAAAGGTGTGGTTTCTATATGGTTGCAACCTTGAACAATCCAATTAAGGCGCACCTCCAAAATTTATCATAACATATAATTTTGGTTTAAAAAAATGTTAAGATTATCTGAAATCTATTTATAAAATTTTGAACTCCAAAAATGATTAAAATCAAGTAGATCTAAAAACATATAAAAATATTGAAAATGGACGGTCTAGATAATGTGTTACAAGACGCACTATTTTTGGAACTTAAAATCTTTTTTTTTCATATTCATTAATCTCGATGTCGAAATGATCAATTAGAGGGTCTTTCAAAATTAAAACAATATTTTTCAATAGATTTTTGAGGTGCATCTGTAATTCTACATTTTAAGGTTTTATATAAATTTTTTCTTTATCTAAAAATCTATTTTCATATCTAATCTAAAAATGGTTAAAATTAGATCTATAAACACATGAAAATCTTGAAAATAGACGGTCTAAATAAAGTGTGGAAAGAAAATGCACTATTTTTAGGTCTCAAAATCTTTTTTTTTTTTTTTAATTCATACATCTCAATGTCGAGATATAAAGTAGGGGGTTTTCCAATATTTAAACAACATTCTCTGATGGATTTTTGAGGTGCGTAATTCTACATTTTAAGGTT